TTTCCTCTGGTCATTTTTCCCCCTAGGTTTCTTGGAATGAGAATTATCATCCTCACATTCAGTGTCTATCGTATGTCTCCTTTCAGGTGCTGCTTTTTTCTTTATCCCCAATGTCACAGAATCTTGAATATTTGTAGATTTTTCTTCTTGGTCCTCAAAATTCCAATTACTCTTCTTTCTTTTGTTTGGCTCCGTATCTTCACTTTCAGAGACCTTTGCCTCCAATTTCCTCTGTCGCTTTCTTTGTCTTCTTGACAAGCTGCTAGAACCATTGGTGACTGTGTTGTAACAGTTCACTCCAACAATCTCCTCCAATCTGACTCTATCAAATCCACAAACAAAATAAAATGTCAATGTTGCAACACATTTTATGCTAAAAATAAAACCCATCCAGCTGCCTTTAATCCAACAAAGACACAGGTTAGGAATACTGATCTCAATACAATAGTCTCTTTTTTAGTCTTTATGCCTTAACAGTCTTTAAGGCATAAAGACTAAAAAAGAGACTATATGTATCTACTTAAGAGTAAACCACATGAGTGGGATCATATCACACAACGCCATGATTTATTGAATCAATTTACGCATGCCACATTTGTTCCTGATTATATATCACATTAACCCCACCACCACCACCACAAAATTATAAGGTTACATAATGTGTAAAGCCTTCTCTATATTTAAAGTTTATGCCTCATAATGGTATATAGAATTGTAGCCTGGAAGAACAAATAATTATCATTAGGTCAGGGTTTCTCAAAATGAGCACTACCATCACCCAATAATATGATAAATGAATTTGTATGGCAGCTTCCATAAATAAAATGAGTATCATTAAAGCCAAGTTTGGGCAAGTCAATGTCCTGCTTATTTGTAACAATTATTGTTGTGGCCAAAACCTGGCTCACCAAAAGCAACCAAATCACTTTGAATATAGCACATAATTTTATTAGCGTGCAAACAACAAGACAGTATACACTGGGCTCCCAGCAAGACTTCCGCACTTTGGTGAGCAGCCATGAGCAAAAGCAGAACTAGAGCTTACATACCTTTGGCCTATTTCACTGGGAAGGCAAGGGGAAGGGACAGCAGGACCTTGGAATGTTTTAGATAGATAAAGGCATCCATGTGACCTTATTATTCATTCATTCTTACTAGGTCAGCATGGCACCGACATTATCTCTGAGATATGGTAAGTGACTAGAAATAATTGGGTTTACTGGGCCACAGGTTCCTGACCAATGATTCCTCCCTCTGATGCCACTCAGGGTCAAGCTTGCTGTGAATGTTTTCTTATTAGGGTACTTTAAGTACTTCATATTTAGGGTTGGGGGGAACCCCATAGGTATGGTAATGAGTGGACCTTAATATATATTGGGTGTGTGCCCTTTTTATTCCATATTATATTTTAATCTAACCATATTGGGTATGTGTGCTTTTTATGCCATATTACATTTTAATCTAACCATCACAGATTCCTCAAATTTTATAAGCTTCCACAAGCAAAACAGATACCAAACCTCAATCGTTGCTAATATAAGCATGGTAGGTTTTGTTTTTTTTAATTTCAAGTTTGGGAACATCTGCTCTAGATGATAAATAAAATAATTTTATGGGTACTTAGTTCCACATTAGATGTACTAACTTTAGCATGCTACATGTTAAATAGTTATATATTTACAGTTCTATAATTATGATGCACTTGGCTTTCACCTGTATTCCCCCTCCAATTACAGGTAGTCCTCGACTTACAAGTTCATTTAGTGACCATTGAAAGTAATAATGGAACTGGAAAATATGACTTATGACTGTTTTTCCTAATTTTGACCTTTTCAGCATCCCCATGATCATGTGATCAAAATTCAGGTGCTTGACAACTGGTTCATATTTATGACCTGTGTTGTGTCCCAGGGTCCTGTGATCACTTTTTGAGGCCTTCTGACAAGCAAAGTCAATGGGGAATCCAGATTCACTTAACCAGGTTACTAACCTATCAATGGCAGTGATTCACTTAGCAACCATGGCAAGCAAGAAAAGTCGTGAAATGGGGCAAAACTCACTTAACAAATGTCTCACTTAACCACAGAAATTTTGGGCCCAATTGTGGTTGTAACTCGAGGACAGCCTGTATTTAGCATCAGAAACCCCATCACTATGTGAATCGAATGGAAGATGCAATTCGAAGTATTTGGAAGGCATCTTCCTGCCTAAATCTGAACAGGATCAAGCTAACATTCAAAAAAATAAAATAAATTTGCCAACGTGCAAACCAAATAGCCAAAATCTCTGTTCACTCCAAAGCAGGCAGTCACTCAGAGAGCCCGTTTCCCCCCACCACCGTAGCCCAGGGCTGTGTAGTATCCAAGATGCTCCCCCCCTCCGGGGCCCTTTTTCCTTTTGCAAGGCTCCCACCGAAGAGAATCGTTGTCCCGCACCAGCCTCGCGCTCTCGGTGGGCGGCAGGAGCGCCCCGTCGAGGAAGAGGTTGAGCCTGGCGTGGCGGCTAAAGCCGAACTTCTCCCGAATGAGGCTGATCAGGTCAGTGATGAGGCGCACTTGGTTAGGCTCCACCAACAGCCAACACAGTCCGCACGCCGGACTAACCGGCGGCGGGTAATCGAAGAGCAGGCGGAGGCGCACCGGAGCCTCGCAGCCACTACCTATGGCCGCCGCCATGTTTTCGAGAGCCAAGAGCTACGGCGTGCCACGAGGGACAAAGCGAAACGAAAGCGCGAGAGCAAGAACGAGAGCGGACTGGGCTGGCCGCGAGCTGCTTGGAAAAGCTACGGGGAAAGAGAAAGCGCGAGAAGCTGAGGGTTATTTTCCAGCACGGCAATTTCTTGCTTTTGCCCCATTAAAAAAACACACACACACACAAAAAAATGTCCATTTTTTAAAATTTGAATGCTTTTAAATTAAAACAATCATAACAAAAAAAAATCAAGTTAGGTTGGAAGTTTTCAATATTTTTGGATATGTTGGAGTTCTGGAGAGAGAGAAAAAAACTAAATTCCACTTCCTTATTCACTCTGAATAGTTTAACATCTCTCGGAAATCACCGAGCCAAGAGACTGCACATAAACGGCATATAAAAGCAGAACATGTTTTTTAAAAAATGTGTGCGGAGGAATGCGGGATTAGTCAACTTGCTAATGGCAGCATACCAAAGAAACATACTGATTTTTTTTTTATCATAAAGGTATGCAAATAAAGCGTAAAAATAGGATATAGCAGGAAACTAAACATGCTTGTCTACAAATGTGTAAAAGACTCGAAAGTCATTAATACTGTTAAAGGTCTAAACAAACCTCTGTTAATTTTAGGTGGGGATACATGCTCATTTTTCAGTTTTCCTTTACTGAATTCTCCATGTGAATTTTCTGGAAATACATGCCCAGTACTTTTATTCTTCCTGCCATTGTGATAGCTAATAGCCTTCTATATAGGATCAGGGTGCTCCCCCTCTCTCTTTATATAAATAAGTTTTCACTAAAATAGAAGTACCATATGTTAAAGTAAGTCAAGTCTGTATTCTTTCCTTGGCTTTGCTCATAATAACTGTTTTGAATTTGGAGGAGGCTAATGTGGAGATTTGTACATTAGCAAATGTTCTCTTTGTGCTTTGATTATAATTGCAATTGTAATGATTTATTCACATGGTATATACAGTAGGTTTTATATAATTTTATTCTTTTAATATAACAGCCCCCCCCCCCCCAGAATTATCCTGTTGTAAGATGGGTAGCCAATAAATAAATAATAAATAAATGGCTCCAAGAAATATCCTTTAATTTTAAAACGAGAATAATATGGAAACATGAATGTCAGAGAAAATGAGAAGTTCATAACCCAGATTTTTATGGGGTTATTTTTATGTGGAAAAGCAGAAGACATATTCTTGCAGTCTGAAGCGGTCCAGTTCAGATTCAACTTAATAAAATGGGAACCAAGCTGGAAGAAAGATTGGCTGCTGTGATAGGCTAAAGATGTAACACTTTTAAGTTAATTTTTAAGTCCTATTTGATTGAATAAACCACAATTGACTGGGTGCATCCAACACACTAAGCCAAAAGCAAACAAGCCACACTCACTAATCCTGAATTCTGCTTGCTTGAGCGAGCTTGTATTCAGGAACTCTTTTTCTTTATAAGGAGGAAGTTGTAGAAGCAAATACTTAGTTCCCAAATCAGACAATTTCCCGTATTGCTTGTGGTTTCTTTAACCCTATTGCTAGGTTTGCATATACAAGTAAATGAAAAAAAAAAGGAAACTACATCCATCTTGTCCATCTTCTGTCCGTCCATCCATCCAATTTCTATGGCCACCCATTTTACAAGAAGTGATTCAGGACTGTACAGAAAAAGATCTGAAGACAATAAATATGTCAAAAGTAATCAAACTAAAGTTTTAAAAGCACAAAACACTCAAGATCAAGGGAGCACCTCAAGATTTCACAGGTCCCCTGAGATTCCCAGGCCTGGTGACATAGGTTTGGAGTGACTTCCAGAAAATAAGTAGGAGTGGAGCTGATCTCACCCCAAGAATAGGAGGTGTGTGTGTATGTGTGTGTGTAGGAAGAACGTTTCATAAGATAGGTAGGTGTGTGTGTGTGTGTGTGACTATGTAGGGGAAGACTGTAAGGTAGGCAAGGGCATGGGGATGGGGGAATTCAGCCAGAGGTCCACTGGTTACAGTTGCCAGCAAGAAACACATTGGATGGAAGCAAAGTCCAACCAGATTACAGGTTACAACATACAGGTTAAACTACTTAAACTTTGTGGTTTCTTCCCCAAACCCCAAAAACTTTAACCTTAGTCTGTCTACTATCGACCCCTAAGAGGCCTGCACCCCAATCGTGCCTACCATCCCTGTCCTATTGTTTTTTATTTATCTATCTATCTCATGTATTCAAAAGTATATTTATTCTTATACCTGTATCTTGTAAATACGAAAATACTTTAAATTCTTTTTTTTTTCCACTAGTCTAATCGCCCTGGCAGCCAAACCTGGGCCAAGAAATGAACCAGAGAGAACCGGAGCTAGAGGGACTTGGCGGTTCTTCCAGCACGGAGCAAAAGAACCGCAGAGGCGAAATCCGCCCCGCCAGGACAGAGCCAGAATCGAGAGCCCGCGTTTTGAATCACGCGCTCTCGCCGCGCGGTGAAAGCTGGTCGGACGCGGCTGGTCCAATTCGTAGCGTGCAAAGGTCGGGCAGGACCAAAGAGATCACGTGTGGAAGCTTTGAGGAAAGGCAAAACATCCGCGGTTCCCGAGTTGGGCCGGGTTTGGAGGATCTATAGGCTCGCTTTTAAACTCGGCTCGCCACTTCTTCCCCTTCTTCAGAAGCGGCTGGCGGGGGGAGTTCGAGCCTTAGGGTTGTTGCTCTGAAGGTTGTCAAGATGTTGCTGACGGAAAGTATTATTCTAATATTGTCGCTGGGGACTCTAAGTTCAGGTAAGCTTGGAAAGAAGGCGACGGCTTCTTCTCTCCCCCGCCCCCCAATCGTGTCTAGTTAGTAACAGCTCACAAACCCACACACAAGTTTACGGAAGGTGAAACACGATCGGAGAACGGTACTCCTTTCGTGGTGCTGAATTTAAAACTGACCGCATCTCGAAGCTACTAACCCGAGTGTAAAATGGTTGTATTTGTTGTTTGTATTTCTGTTGGGATTTTAAAAGCTTGCCTTGTGCTGCTGAGCTTTCTCGTCCTGCCAGCTATGCAAGCCTCCTTCCGTGGAAGAATATTATGAAAGTGGCAGAATCTGAATGAGTAATCATGGGCTGAAATCTCTGCGGAAATCTCTTAGATCCTCTTTTTAGAGTCAGCCCCCATTTTGGGTTGTTGGTGAACTGCAACTCCCAGCAGCTTCAGCCAGTGTGATCTATTTTGTGCGGAGGGGGGGAGGAATTTCTAGTCTCCTTTTGGGGAATTTTTTTGCGGGATTTTAGTCTTCTACAGTAAACTGCAGTACATCTGCAGATTGCTGCTGCAATCTGCAGATGCAAGCAGTACAAGTTTAGGGACCATTGCTTTAGGCATTCCTTCCTTCCTTCCTTCCTTGTTCTTTTCTTTTTTCTTTTTCTTTTGTATTTGATTTGTGTTTGTCATCCACATACCTCTCTGATTTCTAGTGACGGCCTGGCACAGAGCTAGAAGATATGAGCAACTGTGAGGAAAACACTTTGATTCCCGGTATTCAGCCAAGCAGGTTTGCTTGGAAAGCGAGTGTAAAATATCTACTCCTTTAATTGGTAGTTATTTAAAACAAGTTTTAAAATTTGCCTTAAAGGAAACATCCCATGTAAGCAGTCACTCCTTTTTTAAAGCTAACATTTTAAAACTAGACACTTGAGGAAGAACTACTTTATAACTTAAATTTAAATTGTACAACTTATGCTCCCAAAGGTGGAAGTATTTCTTCAGAGACAAAGTATATATAGGTAATCCTCTACTTACAATTCATTTAGTGACTGTTCAAAGTTACATTGGCACTGAAAAAGTGACTTATGACTTTTTTTCATACTTATAACCATTGCAGCATCTCCATGGTCATGTAATTAAATTCAGACACTTGGCAACTGATTCATATTTATGATGGATGGTCATGTGACCACCTTTTGCGACCTGACACACAAAGTCAATGCAGAAGCCCGATTTACTTAACAAATGTGGCAAGAAAGGTTATAAAATGAGGCAAAACTCACTTAACAAATGTTTCACAGCAACAGAAATTCTGGGCTCAATTGTGATCGTAAGTCGGGGATTACCTATATATGGTGCAGTGGGCATTTTCATAGACAAAGGGAAAAAAATGAAATAATGATAGAGGAATAGTGACCTATCCAAATTCTTTATTGAGTTTCCATGACAGGGTACATCTGGAATTGGGAGTCTTTAGTTGTAACCAAATCTCTCCACGCTTCATCAACATGGTATGAGAGCAAACCCCAGTAAAGCAGAAAATATTTATTTATTAAATGTATATGCCCATCTCACTATGGATGCTATTTCAGAGTAATTGTTTGTGGGATTATTCTACTTTTCAATCAGGTGGCAATAAGGAAGAGAGCCAGATGTTAAGGCTATCATATCAGGACAAAAAAAAAATTCTAGATGACCACTACATGTCATTGGGGAGCTATAGAACAGTCTAATTTGCTCCTATCAAGTGATCTTCTGGATTTTTCCAGATGATATGTAATAGGCCTGCATGTATGGTTCTTTTTAAAAACCAGGTAGGTAAATCACTACAGGACAGCGGTCCACAATCTTTGCAGCTTGGCGGCACAGGTGGGGTGGAGGGGAACCGGACCACATTAGCAGCGGACTGGTGCGCATGTGTACATCATGTGTGTGCACCGCACGTGTGTACCAGCCCGCTGTCCAGTTGTGAATAGGCCATGGCTTGGTAGTGGGCCAGGGTGAGGGATTGGGAAGCCCTAATAAAGGATACCAACCCTTGTTCTTGGAAGTTCTCTGTGTTTGCAGAACATTGTCTTTGAGGCAGAGATAATGTGATTTACACTCACAGCTGCTTATTATGGAAGTCAACTGAGCAGTTGACTTTTAACCACCAACTCTATGTGAGATGCTGCCTATGACACTCTGAGAATCCTGGTACTTCATTTTATTTTATTTCTCTCCTCTCCCCTGCTTTTAATAATGAGTTGTCTATCAAGCATCAGTGTAATTAGGAGTAGCCATTTGCACTGCAGAGAGAGGTTACAGTTGTTTGTTAAAGTAGTCTATGATTTAAACTCTATTTTGACACTGCCTTTAAACAAGTACTGTTAATAGCTACTGTGGGAAAAGAAGGTGGCAGTATTTTGCATGAAGTCTACACCTACGGATAAGCAATTGCATTGGAGTCAGTAGGACTGATATGATGTAAGCTGCTGTAGGAATGTGTCCTCTTGATGGAAGATGAGAAAAAGAGGTAGGAGGCTATCTTGGCAATCTACTTGGCACTGGATTTGGTTGTAGTGTACAGTCCTGTTTCTTAACCTGTGGACCTTGGAATGTCTTGCAAGGTTGAATCCTGTCTACCGAAGAGCTTCAACGAAATTGCACCCACTGGAGTGAGGTGGTGGGTTTTCTACTGCCAGTTCTTTGATTCCAGGGGGGTCTGTGGGATTGGAGAAAAAGTGCTAGGGTTCAAGAAAGGGGAAAAGGCACTTTCTGGTATCATCCCATGGGATTGGACAATTGGCACAGTCCAATATTCCTACCTGCTCTTCTTTTCTTTTATAAAAAAATACTTTTTAAAAAGATAAGGCTAGCGTGTCTGTTTTTTTTTAAAATTTCCAAGCATGCCCATGAGCTTCATGTGCTGAGCTTCATTTGGGAACATCCAGGAAAAGGGACGAAAGAAAGATGGAGTGTAGGAAGGAAGCTGAACAGGTTGTTTTCAAATAAACTGTGGTTGTTCTCCACAGTCCTAAAATGTTGCCATCTGTTTGGTCTCCGAACTGACAGTATTTGTTTTGTTGTATAAGTAGACCAAGGTAGATTACAATCTGTATTCATGCACACACCCCAAAAAAGGAATGAGCTTAATGCACAGATAGTGACAGTTTGTCCTGTTGAAGTGGGCAGAGCTTATCTCGAAAGTGGAGTATATTTGGATGGCAGATGATCTTCAGACTCCTTGATAGTGAAACCTCCCCCCCCCAAAAAAAAATCTTGTTAATGTTTCTGAGTCATATTATGAGACATTTTGATAGGTAGATCTTACTCTCTGATTCATCATAGCTCTGGAGTAAATGTGATCTCAGGGCCGTCTACTGGGCAGAAAAGATTCATAAACTGCCTCACTCTCCCATTGTCATTGTTGATGGAACATTTGGTGCTCAAAATCTAATCTGGGCCTTGATGATTACGTTTGTGTGGTATCCTGTAAAACCAAGGGTATTTCCGGCACCGAAAGTAGCATTGCTATCTCTACTATCTCTGTTCTTTGAAAGAACCACATATTATACAAGGCCAATTGTACATGGAAGGGTGGAGGAATTACAGATTTGATGTGGTAGTGTAGAACAGGGATCTCCAACCTTGGCAATTTTAAGACTTGTGGACTTCAATCTCCAGAATTCCACAAGTCATAAAGTTGCCAAGGCTGAAGACTCCTAGTCTGGAAGGAAGAGGTTCTTCTCCTGAAATTCTCAGAATGGTAGAAGAATGCCAAGTCCTCTTGTGTCTTAGCTTTGTAAAGCATAGTAATTGCTTATTTATTTTTGTCCCCTTTTAGCTTTTTCAATAAAGGAACCTAAAGAACCGAAACAGGCGTGGGGGTATGTTCCTGTCAGAAGCAATGCAAGCATGTTCTGGTGGTTATACTATGCAGACAGTCCCACTCAGAATTTCACACAACTCCCTCTTATCTTATGGCTGCAGGTAAGCTGGGGGTAAGGCTTTGGTGTGAGCTGTAATGGAAGGACAATAGCATCAGAAGTAGAGTTGAATCCTGTAAAACCTTGCAATAGAAGGTTTCTAAAACTCTGAACGAATCCTTCAGAGGAGAAGAATAAAGTTTAAATGGAGATTCAGCCCTATAACATAAACTGATTGCATTTGGCGGGTGGGATTGGAGGGATTGAGTCATCGTTATTTCCTGGTGACTGGAAATGTCCTGCAGTTTTTTGGTAAGATTTCAGAGGCGGCTTTCCCTTGCTTAATTCCTAGGACTGAGAAGATGGGGCTGGCCCAAGATAACTCAGGTAGCCTCATGCCTAAGGTGGAACTAGAATTGTCAGTTTCGGGGTTTTTAGCTAATGCCTTGACCACTACACCAAACTTGCTCTCATTGTATATTAATTATACCTCATTGCCTTAATTATTCTAAATCAAGTTATTAAAAGCAGTTGAAAAATCAGAAATATTATTTCTGATGCCCCACATAGTGTAAATTGTTTGGATTTGTAAGTTGCTCGGAAGGCACGGGAACAGTAATGCAAATTGCAAGGGCAAAAATTAAATTATGGCGTAACATAAATGAGCTATAGAATTTCATTGTGGCATTCCTATGCCTATACAGGTAACTCTCAACTTACAACCATTCATTTAGTGATCGTTTGAAATTACAGCAGCACTGAAAAAAGATATTTATGACTGTTTTTTACACTTATAACTGTTGCAACATCCCCATGTTCACATGATCAAAGTTTGGTAATCGGCCTGCATTTATGACAGTTGTAGTGTCCCAGGGTCATTTGATCATTTTTGGGGACCTTCTGACTAGCAAAGTCAAAGGGGAAACCAGATTCACTTAACAACCGTGTTACTAACAACAACGGTAGTGATTCACATAAGAACCGTGGCAAGAGAGGTCGTAAAATGGGGCAAACTCATTTAACAGCTGTCTTGCTTAGCAACAGAGATTTTGGACTCAATTGTGGTCGTAAGTCAAGGACTACCCATAACAAACAGGAATTAAGTTTAGCTGGGAAAATTCAGAAATTCTGCCTGCTCTTGGAAAGGCCTGCATTTTCTTTCCCACGTGGACTAACACAGCACTCGGAAGCCGTTTCTAAGAAAAAGTTCCACAGGATTCTATTTGTAGATTTGCATTAACAGCCTTGGAATGAAACCATTCTGTTCATCACACCTCCTTTTCTTGAGAGATAAATGAAAAATAAGATAGCAAGAAAAATGGTTGATGATTTTCCTCTCCGTTTCTCACCTCTGTGTTTCCATAGGGAGGCCCAGGAGCTTCAGGTTGCGGATATGGAAATTTTGAAGAGATTGGTCCCTTAGATTCTGATCTAAAACCAAGAAAGACAACTTGGGTAACTGTGTTAAGTTATAGTGGGAAAATTGGGCGTGTTCTGGCAGGCTATGTTTAAAAAAGGATGCTTTTTGCAATATGTTGGTTTTTGTTTGAGATGCAGACTTTGAGATCTTTCTTGCTCTTCCTCTAGGAGCCCATATACCGTATGCTTCCGAAGCTACCAGTTATTTAAAGAGATTTTACTCCTACACCTCATCCAGCAGCCTAATAGATTATTTGTCTTCATGGCAGGAAATCTTTATTTGCTCTGTTTTTCTATATTGTCCTTGTGTTAAACAAACCAAGTAAGACTTTAGGATTCATATTTAAAGAAATGAATTTTACCAGTAGTCGTAAGACTGCTCTTCCACTATCCTGAAAGCCAAAAACAAAAACATGTATATTAAAAAGGATAGCTTACAAGCATATATATGCACACGTGCACAACAACATACACATAAACACACAGACAGACACATAAGGAAAATTAAAAATTTTAAAAGAATAAACTTAAAATTGGGGAAAAGCCTTGAACCACAAACTGTGGAAGGTTTGACTCTGTTGCAAGTATTAACAACTGAAAGTAAGAGACTTCTATGGCTGAGGTTGCCTATGAATGAGAATAGCTAATGCTAAGACATATTTAATAAATGCCTCTAGGCTGAAAATATAGCGATACTGAGTAGTGCATTATCCTTTCTATGCAAAATAAGCGCTCATCGTGCCTTTGTGGGAATCTTTGAAAGAGTCTTTCCTTCTTTGTCATCCCTTTTAAGTAGGCTGCCCTCCTTCTGTGTGTGTTGCTGATGTCAGTGTTTTCTTTGGGTGGTGTAGCTGCAGGCAGCAAGTCTTCTCTTTGTTGACAATCCTGTTGGCACCGGATACAGTTATGTTAATGACACCCTTGCCTACGCCACTGATCTCAGCATGGTCGCTTCGGATATGATGGTGGTTCTCCGAGAGTTCTTTAAATCAAAGGCGGAATTCCAGGCAAGTACAGCCGGAACAGCCCATGGAATGTCTTACTGTCTACTACCACTGTATGAAATCCCAAAACTACACATGAACCCTATTCAGGCATTGCAGAACGGAAGTACTCATCACACAAGCCTTTTCTTTAAGCTCTGCTGACATTTATCAAATGGCTTTGGGGATGGATGTTTACAGAAGGAAACCTTGCTTGAATTTGCTTAAAATTGCACAGGTGCTGACTTCCTTGCAAATTAGCATCTTGAACAATTGGCATCCTTGTTCATGTCAAAGCCAGTCCACTAATAGTTATGCTTGCAAAGGCTCCTGTAGACTGTTACCCCGAACAGTTTCTGCTAGAGGGCAAGGCCTGTTGAGAGTGCTGACATAGCAGGAATTGCCTGAAGGCTAGATTTAAGCTCCCACTTCCCATCCTTCAAAGTTATCTCAGAACATGGGACAAATGATGGTGTATTCAAAGGTTCCTCATTCCTGCAGTGTAGAGATTGCTCCCTCCTGAAAATTAGCCCTTTAATGGAGTGATTTATAATCCTAGGCCTAATTTCAGTCTCTCTGTGTGTTCTGGTGTGACACACAAGGCCTAATTTCAGCCAGAAAGACTTCGGGCATAGGATCAGTCCTGGGAAGTAGGTTTTTATTATGCTCAAAGGGAGATATGAAGGATCCCCGTATATTCATTGGGTTGCCCTGTCATTAAAATGGAGTGGATTCTCTTAACTTCAGGAGAAATTTTTTTTTAAATTTTTGGAATGAAATGTCCTAGTTACTGTGTAAATGATTTCATTTGGTATATAGGTAATTCTCGAGTTATGACAGGTGCTTAGCATTACAACCCCCCCCCCAAAAGGTACCTATACTTATGACCATCATTCATAGTTCTGACAACTGCTCCCCCCACCCGCAGTGGTCACATAATTGCATTTTGGGCACTCGGCAACCAGCATTTAAGTGATTTACAATGCTTTTTGCCAGAAACCAGGGTTTGCTTAGTGACTCTGGCAATTGGAGTGAAAAACATAACATTGAGTCTGGTCATGTGACCTGCTTGGCACAGTGCTTGGCATGGTGCAACTGTAATTCTGGGCTCAATTACATTCGGAAGTTGCGAGCTACTGTAATCTGCTTTGCAATGTAATGAATCCCATGTCTGTGGAATGGGGCAGGACAGAAATCCAAGGGGGTGTCTGTTACTTGGCTGGATAGCTGCAGAAGGAGACCGTTTTGTCTTGCTCTTCTGAGAAAAGATTTCCCTTTGGTGTTTATGGGCATCAAGCAGGAAAAAGAAAAGAGTGAAGGTTTATTGATGTATTGAGTAATTCTTTTATTTTTGTGGAAGGTGTATAAATGCATTTTTTCCTTTCAGACAATCCCCTTCTACATCTTTTCTGAATCTTATGGAGGAAAAATGGCAGCTGCCATTGCTCTGGAAGTTCATAAGGTAAAGTTGATTTTTCCCTGTCAGAGAATATAGTAATCTCATCAAGGTAACCTGGATTTCTTCTGCAAGATCCTGAGGGAAGAAGAATCTCTCTTAAATCTCTCTTAATAAATGAGGCATATAAAATCCTCCTCGAATCAAGGTTGATTCTTGATTAAGTGTTAAGATGAAAGTGTTTTGCTACTGCTTCTGGGATAGATTCCTCACCTCTCAGACTACTCTATGACCCTGGGCTTTCTGATGCTCTCCTTTCCCAGGATTAACTAAATTTGACTGCCTTTGTTTTTTCAGATCAGTCAAAATTGGCTAGGTGCTGTTACCTCTGAGGTGAAATATATATGTGTTTCCATGTGAGGTGTGAAAGATCAGGTCTACAAGTGGTTCAGTTAACTGATTTATTGCTATAGCCTAGCCTAGTGGTTCTCAACCTTTTCTTCTCCACGGACCCACTTTATATACCTTTTATGGTCATAGACCATAGCCATGGACCACCAAGACTTAACTCAAGATTTAAATCACAACATTTCTTCAAGCCTGTGACAACATTGTGGCCCCACAGTGATCTGTAGATCACAGGTTGAGAACCACTGCTATAGACTATGCACCAGAATTTTCTCAACTAACAGCACCTGCTTAGATTTAGATCAGAGTCAATGGCACTTAACATATGTTGGATGTGGTCAGCTTGTGGCCACGTAGGGATTCGAGTCTAATCTCTCTTTTACCCCACCCCCAGGTTCTTCCAGTCCTTCTCCCACGTCCCAATATGTTTTTCACCCAGTCATCTGAATTTGGAATTTCCACTCAGTTGGCCATAGGAACCCCGAGAAAGCCTTGGTTATTCCCCCTCCAGTGGCATCTCCAAAACTGTCTACAGACAACTTATTGTTGTATCTGATATCTAGAGAATAATCACAGCTGTTGAAAAGTTTATTTTAATGTTAATGGTACAATTTAAATTCAATTAAATCTTGCTTTTTGACCCAATTCTATCTAGTTCTTTGCCCTTTCCTCCCCCTCATGTAGATATGTAGATCTTGCATGTGACTCAGGCACCAGGTGCGGTCCTAAGGCCAAAAGATATTGTACGTCCCTGCTTAATCAGTTGTGTAAGTGCACACCAGCAGTAGGAGCCATGGGTTAGCAAGGGATTAAGCAGCTACTCTTCTTTCTCTAACTATTATCAAAAAATGTGAAGAAAGTTGAGGTGGGAGGAAAGGAGGGACAAAGGGAGGGAGGGAGGGAGGGAAGGAAGGAAGGAAGGAAGGAAGGAAGGAAGGAAGGAAGGAAGGAAGGAAGGAAGGAAAATGTAATGTACAAATTACATAATATCAAGCATATTTTTTATTAAAGAGATCTTGGGAGGACCAAGCTCTCCAGATAATTGTCTCTTCTAGACTTGATTCCAGGCATGGATTTGATAACTAGAACAATGGAGGCAAAAGATGTTAGCACTGAGCTAAAATAAACCGTGTGTAGGCAGCAGAGTCCACAGAGGTGTGTTAAAATAGACAAGGTGGTGAGTCACAAGGCAAGCCCTGCCCCTTTTGCGCATTCGTCATTGCGCAAGGTTTCAGAGGGGCGAGTCTTACGCTTCATCCACCATCTTTCTGATCTTGACACACACATAGGCCCACATGTGTAAGATATTGCTAGAGATTTTATTGCTTTCAGCCAAAAAAAGCACTTTCCTTAGCTATAGAATTGGCTAAGAAATTGACCTACGTTAATAACGCAGTTCTTGTTTGCTTTCTTCCTGGCCTTAAGGGAAGGTGCTTGAAAGTATATGATACATTTACCTCAGAATAATTAGGTTTTAATTAAACTTTAATTCTATTTTTTAAGGCTATTCAAGCTGGAACAATCAAGTGCAATTTTCGTGGAGTAGCCCTTGGTGATTCATGGATTTCTCCTCTAGGTACATTCATGTGGAACTAAGTACATCTGTGATATTGTGCATCTTCCACTGTATTTCTTGCCTCTTTCTGGCAAAATCTGAAGAAAAAATAAAGACAATTTGATATTCAGTACCAGCAACCAGGTTCAAGTGAAATTGTGGAGGCTTGGTTTTATCCCAGCTTGATTTCAGGTGCCTTAGGATTAAAATCTCTTCCCTCCATTTTATCTGTATACTAAAATTATTCTGTTCTGCTTTTCTGTCAGATAGTTTTTGGAATCTGAGGAAGTTTACAATGGAGGACTTGATGCTCTCTGAGTTTAGTTGTTTGCTTGCAGATGTTTTATTACATAACTAAATAATACTGATTATATTACCTAGTTAAGTACTGAAATGTCTGCAAGCAAACAACTAAGTTCAGAGAACACCATGGACTCTGCAGTTCAACCCTGAGCTATAGATATTCTCTTCTATTGGAAGTTTATTATTCCAGCCACTGAAAATTATATATTTAATTATATATGGCTTTCTGGTTGGTTATTTTAAGTATGATTAAACTGGGCACTTTTTATCTTAAAGGAAAAAAGATATTGCATGTTCGAATAGGAGAGCCAACACATGTTCCTGATTACTGTAAAAAGAATGTTGTTACTAGATACACAATGGCAGTTGTCAGTAAGAATCTGGGTTGGGCTTCCCATGTGATTTGGAAATAGTCCAGGGGGTTTACTCCGTGCTCAAAATCTTGGCTGTTCTTCAGAATAGCAACATGAATAAGATCTTTTTTTAAAATGTGAATAGTTTAATGTCATTTTCCTCAGCCTGATAGCATCAAGATACGTTAGTTAGAATACAGCCTTTCAGCACCCAGCCAGCATGGCTATCACTGCAATGTGGGGATGATGGAAATCTCGTGTCAATGCTTCTGGAAAGCACCAGATTTTGATACCTTGGAATAAATAATAAACAGTTTGGTGCTAAATTAGATCGCCATTGATTTAGAGATTTTGTGAGGCTCCACTTTAAAAACTAGGAGTTATTTCTGTGCATTTATACTGCTGCCTCCTCTTCCTTCTCCTCCTTTTGAAAAGCTGTCAATTTTAAAATAGCTAGGATTGATTTTATTTCAGTTCTTATTTTGTCTTGATGCAGAAAATGCTCAGGAACTTAAAAAGTTACTGCCTGCTTTAAACAGAGAAATATGGGAAAGATACTAAAGTTTATGCCCATTATTCTGTTTTATTTTTTAAAAAATAAGCCAATCTTAATGTTTGTTTCTTTTAGATTCTGTGCTTGCTTGGGGGCCTTACCTGTATAGCACTGTAAGTATATACTCCATATCTTTAAAAAAATTATTAATGTTCTTACAACTACAAGGAAGAATACTGTGTTTCTCCAACAATACGGCCTCCACCAATAGGAAGGCCCAGCATGATTTCTAGGCATGAGGTGAAATTAAGCCCCATGCATACTCCCCTTGCCACAAAGCTGTTTCTATCAGCCGATGGAAGCTCCCCAAAGGTAGAGTCACCAGCCACTTCTATCGGCCAGTAGAAACGACTTCATGGCGAGGAGAGTGTATGCGGGGTGCTTGCCCTGAGGCCACTTCTACCATCTGATAGAAGTGGCTGGTGACTCTGCCTTTGGGGAGCTTCCATTGGCCGATAGAAAAGGCTCGTGGCAAGGAGAGTGCGTGTGGGTGCTCGCCCCGAAGCCGCTTCTACCGGCTGATAGATTTCCTGCCCCACGCACACCCCCACCTAGAGCACCCCATGTGCACTCACCTCTCCACGAGGCTGTTTCTACCAGCTGATAGAAGCGGCTGGTGACTCTGCCTTTGGGGAGCTTCCATCAGCCGACAGAAGCAACCTCATGGAAAAGTGAGTGCTCATGGGGCGCTCTAGGTTGGGGTGTGTGTGGGGGAGGAAATTAAGTTATCCCCGAAAAGACGTCTTAGCTGTTTTTTCGGGGCTAAAAAAAAATAAGACCCGGCCTTATTTTATGAGAAACATGGTAGAAAAACTCAAAGTTGCAACACAGTTTATACAAAACATAAAACTAATAAAAGAAGGGGAGAAAGAGAAAAAGAAAAATAACTTGAACTATTCTACTTTAATAAATAGGGTAATAAATGTTATTATGCAGATATGATAATTACCTTTATATCAAAATTCATGCAAGATTGTTGTTAAAGCACAATTTAAACCTTAGCCATGCAACATCTAATGAATCTGTTTAGCTGCCAATAAACAGTCAACTCAAGCCTGGGAGTTTAGCTTGAAGCACGTGCTAAATGCTTTCCTTTTTTTTTTCTTCTCTGATTTTTGACTTCATGAGATTTGTCATGTTGGATCAGACCAGAAATGTCCCTTTATTCCAGTTCCTAGAGGCAAAGCCTGCCTGCTGTGCTTCTGGAGAACTCCAAAGATGGGATTGAAGTCAGCAGGTTTATAGAATGTTATGATCAACATTGATTGCTTAGAAACAGAGGCTAGAAGGAAGTAAACTCTTGGACCTCAAAAGCTACATCCGCTTTCAGTGCATACTTGGGATCTACTTATGTGTTCATGCATGCAAGCACATATTCTCCAGTGCCCCACTTTCTGTACCGCTCCTCCAGCTGTCCTTAGCTGTTTTTGATCCTGAAGAAGCCACCTAATGGCTTTAGCATTAAACTTGGCTTCAGTAGCAGAGTCTCAAGTGTCCTGAGATTTATCTACCCTGCAAATAGGCCATAAGGTAAAACCCACTTAAAAAGAAACTATGTAAAGCATTGGTGGTAAATACAAACCCTTTAGAGCAGGGGTGTCCAACCTTGGCAACTTTAAGACTTGTGGACTTCAACTCCCAGAATTCCTCAGCCAGCTTTGCTGGCTGAGGAATTCTGGGAGTTGAAGTCCACATGTCTTAAACTTGCCAAGGTTGGACACCCCTGCTTTAGAGCATGACAATTCTCTTTACCAAGGACTTTCAATAGTTTCTGTTTGTTGACTTTGTTCAGATTAATAAAACCATTTTTATTAGTCTTCTAATATATCATTCCAGGTAGCCTCTACATTTTCTTCGAAGCCATTGCAAATAATATCTTGTTAAAATACACATTGACATTGGGGCGGTTTACTGCCCAGCTTATATTCCTTTGAAAGTACTTGAGGCATTTTATGCAACGTTGGTTCCGAATTTCTTTTTTTTCCCCTTACTGCTGCATCCCCATCCCACTCCTTGTACTGCAGTCTTTCCTAGATGATCAAGGCTTGAAGGAAGTCACTACAGCTGCCAAGAAGATCCTGAATGCAATAAATACAGGGGCATTTAAGTTTGCTACACTGCTTTGGGATAAAGCAGAGGATATCATAGAAAAGGTAAAGAGATTGATTTAATTGATTATGTGCCATCAACTTGATGGCAGCTTCTGGGGTCACTAGACAGACTGATTTTGCTTCTGACAATTTGTCTCCAGCTTGGTCTTCAGGGTCTCCCCATAGTGCACCGATCATCACTGTAACTGAGTCCATCCACCTCTTATTTTCTTTCCTTTCCATTTTCCCAGCATTTTACACTTCTAAGAGAACTAGGTCTTCACTTAATGTAAAGCCTAGTTACTAGAGTCTTGACTGAAAACTTTGGATGGATTTCTTCTAAGATCCATTTGTTTCTTTTCTTGGCTATCTAAGGTATTCTCAGGAGTCCTTTTCAAAGTTTAGAGTAAATCATGCCTTTTGCTGGAGGATCTCTATTTTTAATGTCATTTCTTTTCTCGTCTAGAACACAAATGGTGTGAACTTCTATAACATTCTAACCCATGACTCTACAAAGGACACCGCTCTTTCATCTGCTACCACTGAAACCATCCCATTTTGTAAGTTGAGTGAGAACTCTGCAATGCCAGAAACCTCTTTTTAGCAAGACATAGTAGTTTTAGAAGATCAAAGATATAGTCCAGGGTCTCCAAAATGGGTCCACAAGTCTTAAAGTTGCCAAGTTTGGAGAGCCCTGGTGTAGCCCCTTTACAGATGCTAAAATGGGTTAAATTAGCAGTTGTTATCTTTTTCACAGAAAATATTTGAAACTCCAGTTTATAATGTCTGAACTCACCACACACTAGCCCTCTAGCCCTCTCAATATATATATTTCCCAGCATCTGGTGGGTTACGTGATATACCTATTGCAACTGTGCAATGGAGATCAGAGCCAAATAGGAAGTAGCAACCTTCAAATTCCCATTCTCTGCTCCAGTGCCCTAAATGAAGTTGCTGAAGTAAAGAAAGTTTCAGGAACTCAGCAATGGAATCTTGCATGAAAAGACTACGGTTCTGATTATCTAAACAAGCAATTGTTCTGTTATTGTTATATTGGATCTCCATATAAGTCCCAAGCACTACAGACTGCCAACTTCCAAATTACACAAAATGCTTCAGCTGAGCATTACAAAATTAATACATTAAAAAAATAGGGGTAAAGATATTTTTTAGTAGAAAGCAAGGCATTAAAGTCATGTCAGCAATTTTATTTTTTGCTTGATGAATGGGATAAGCGTTTGCAATTTAGAGCCATCATGTATATAAAAGATTTGGGGTTTGACAAAGGAGTGCTAGACAGAATCTAGTGTTCCCTACTTACTTCTGAATGGATCTGATTACATTTTGGTAGGCTGCCACTGATTTACTGTTCAGAGGCCCTGAACTGATGGTCCTTGACATGACTGGAGCCATATTTCTGTAATTTAATTTTAATTTAATTTAATTACACATTGAACTGCTGCCTTATTGGGGTTTGGGAGGGGCAGGAGGAATTTTTTTTGGTTTGTTTTATTTTGTGTATTTATGATTTGGTTGTTGCAATTGATAGTGTGTGTGAGAGAGGGTGGGGGAAGGAGAGGGTGGGTGGGAGGGAGGGGGAGAGAGAGAGAGAGAGCACAGAAGATAGAATATTAGCATTGGAAGTGACCTTGGAGGTCTTCTGCTCCAACCTCCGCTGAAGCAGGAGACCCTATACTATTTTAGACAAAGGTACGCAGTCTCTTGTTTAAAATCTCTACTGATGGAATACCCACAAAGAGAGAAAGAAATTATTTTGGAGTTTCTGCAGCAATGATTAGGGAATTCATCTTTAAAAAAAAAAAATACAGGTAAACCTCAAACGCAGTCTTCTTTCTCTTCTTTCTTCAGTAAAATTGTTCCAGCGTCATGTGAAAAATCAAATTAAAGACAAGCTGAATGACCTGATGAATGGGCCCATCCGAAAAAAGCTGAAAATAATTCCAGACTACGTTAAATGGGGAGGTATTTAATATCTACTGACTCCATCTAATACTCATATAGTTTCTTGTATATCATACTTCACAGGAGAATTAAGAACTTGGTGAAGAAGCTCTTATCTTAGGAAACTATATATTTAGATTATATTAGCTATGATTGAACTTCAGTGGCAAAATGTGTTTTATCATTCTTCAGTAACTTATCTGATATGCTGTCTTTAAGGGGAACTGGGGATATGTATTTATTTATTTATTGGGCCACCCATCTCATTGATAACAACTCTGAGTGGCTTACAATAACTTCCAAAGTAATGGTTCTCTTGAATTTAACTAGAAAAGAGTTATTTTACTTTTACTTTTTTACACTTTAACCCAGGGGTGTCAAACTCAAGGCCTACAGATCATATCCGGCCCACAGGGTGCTTAAATCCAGCCCGTGGGGCCAGCCTGGAAATATGAAAGGACCAGCCTGCGGTCCCTTGGGTGGCTAAAATGGGTCGTGTACGCCCCCCAGCACCTAGTTTTCACCCTCCATGGCTTCCTACAGCAATCTGCCACCCAAAAACGGCCTGAAAAAAGGGCCCAAAACAGGACAAAAATCAGGCCGATAACGGCCAAAACCCTCTACTCGCCAACCCCTTACCCTGGCCGGCCCATAGACAAGAACTACAATGCTAATCCGGTCCTCAAAGAAATCCAGTTTGACACCCCTGCTTTAATCTATAAAAATTATGTCAAGAGAACTGTTGTACAGTTACATGTACATGTACAGAAGCACCATCAGCAGCAATAATAGAAGTTAAAATGTTGAACTTGGGTCTCTTGAATCAGGCCTCAGCCCTGGAGGTTGTTTGATGTCAGCTGGACTTATATTGCAGAGTTAATGTTGCAGAGAAAAAATGGAGGCAGGAATGCTAACTATGTTGCCTTGAACATCTGGAGGAAATCAATGCAAAGCTATCAATCTGAATAATATCATTTATTTAATAAGAGATGATGATGGAGCAAGGTTTTTAGGAAATAAGGATATCAGTTTCCCTCTAGAATTACTAACATACCAGTCATCACCTTTCTCTTAACATGGGAACTATCTAGACAGCCTTCCGAAGCTGGCACTGATTAGACATGTAGATATCAAAAACTCTTAGCAATGGCCATGTCATTTGGGAAATTCTGGGAGTTGAATCTGGATGGGAGTGTTACAGAAGATTGGAAGAATGACTCAGACTGGCACGCTATTCAAAATCGTCCCTCAGAACAGGAGTCTCCAGGAGTGACAACCTGACAACTTGTGGACTTCAACTTGCTGACTGAGGAATTCTGGGAGTTGAAGTCCACAAGCCATAAAGTTGCCAAGGCTGGAGATCTCTGCTTTAGAATGTTTGGATATTCTACACTATGTATTTGTAGTAATAACTCCCTATTTTTTAGGGGAAACTGCAATTCTAGTTCTCTGTACATGTGAAGATTTTTTTCATCTCTAGGTGAAGAATCTTTTCATCAAATGACAACTCCCCAAATTCTTTGGAGAACATTACAGCAATTGTTCAACTGGCACAAAATAAATAGCAATTCCATGTACAGATATACCGTACAGACAGATACAAAACTATTAAATCATAGTTGTGGAATTGGACAAAAACATCTGTGCATGCTCCTCTTATATTTTAAAATATTATATTTTTAAAATTGTGTTAACTTGTCTCATTTCCAATCACAATCAGGTATTGGGGGTGGAATTCCCCAGATTAAAAGCCAATTGGGTTCTAAACCTGGTTGAAGTTAATTACTATTTCAAATTCTATTTGCAACTATGAAGTTGTTAGAATTTCTGGGTGGCTCTGAGATTCAGGTTATAAACCCCAAGCTCCTTCCCCCCACCCCACTTTTTAATGCTGGCTCCAAATTCAGTAGTGGATCATAGTTTCCTCTAATTTAGAAACTGGAAATACATGAAAAATATTTTTTTTGCAGATTAAAATGAAAAAGGAAAAAAAAATACTTTATCCCAACCCCCAGCTGCAGAAAGAAATGGAGATGTCAGATCCTGGCAATGAGGCAAATGTGACTTTTTTGCCCCCTCTCCCTCCCTCCCTTCCTCTCACACACATACACAAATGGCCCTTTCCTTTATCAATAACACTGTATATGACCTTCAACTGGCATAAGGTTACCTACCTCTTCTTACTCTTTTGTTATCACTCTGCAGGGCAATCAGCTGGTGTATTTATGAATATGGCTGAAGACTTTATGAAAAATGCAATTGATATTGTAGACAGCTTGCTCGAGGCCAATGTGAATGTAACTGTATACAATGGGCAGCTAGATCTCATTGTTCCTACAATAGGTAAGCGGGTTTTTTTCCATGGGAATGAGCTTGGTGGAGACAGCAAAGCAGGTCATTATTGTTAGGTGCAACTGTATACAAATAGTCCTCAACTTACTACCATCATGGAGCCTGCCCGCCATGATCGTAACTTGTGAAGATCCTAAAATGGGTCAGTTATGTGATTGACCTGATTTTATAGTCTTTTTTTTTTTTGCGGTGTTCATTAAATGAATCTTCACTTAAGCAAACCAATGGTTTTCAATGGGTGTGTTTTTGTTGAAAACTGGAAGTAAATGCCAAAAACGGCATGATGGTAGAAGGATGATGGAAGGATGGTAGATAGCATAGCTCTAGAAGGAAATGGGGACTACAAAACCCAGAAATAGTGGAAAGAAATGAGCTGGGTTAGAAGAGAGTATTGAAGAGAAGAATACAGTGAGACATAAATGGTATCGGAGGCTAAATCTTTTGTATAGGAGGGATATTTTGCTAGGAGATAGGATCAAGGCATTGTCTTGTGAATAAATAAGAAGTAACTGGCATAAGCTTGCTTGTAGAGTTTATACATTCCCATTCATCTTAAAATGGAATTCCTTCAGGTGAGTAGTTATTTGGATTGCTTTTTGCTTTTAATGACAAAATGCTCCTTAGCTGAAGTCAAAGTGCTGGGTTTATTTTCTAAGCCCTCTACATTTCTACTTTGCTCCATTTTGAGATTTCATCGGTCTTTTCAGGCATATGCTAAACTCTAATAAATTCTTCTTCTTTTCAATTGCAGTTTATTAACCCAGGTTAAGTGATTAGCATACAGTATAACATTAATCTAGGCAAGCAGTATGTGGGTTTTTTTTTCTTTAATGAGATATGTAAACCAGGCCCTTGTAGTATGGTCAACAAATCCAGGTAAACAAATCTAGGCTGAGTAATGGGTATGAATGAAGCCTGTGTTATCTGCCCACTCAGCTGAATTTAGTCTAATAAACCAAATAAACTAACCTTTCAGGTCTGTTTGATCAAAGGCATTCACATCAATGTCAGTAGACATAGACTAAGTTATGGAGTAATTCAATCTCCTAGAACTGGGCAAATACAGTATGCTTATTTAGATTACAATTAGATGATCTTCTTGGCTAAATTAAATCCTTCAGTAATACAAATAAGCATATTTATTTATGTATAAAATTTATTCATCCCCTACTCCCAAGGGATCCAAAGCAGCGTACCAGTGACTTCACACCATTTTCCATGTTTATATTGTTCTTTTCTATTCAGTGACAATATTGATTCCAGAGCCCTGACATTGGGATAAGATAACTTCATCAGGGTCTGTCTGGCAATGGTAAATCAGCATCAGCCAGTTAAACCACGATCATTTCAAAGATGAGTTCCTGGGGAATGATAACAATGATTGAGATAGCCAACATGACAGCAGGTGCCTGGCTATATGTTATACACATACATGCACACATTGCTAAGATGTGTATGTTTTTAGTGCTTTACTAATTCTACAGTGGGTCATTGTGGGTAATTGCAATGAAGATTTTTAATAACTCTCTTAGGTGATTCATCTTGCATTGAAAGATTTTTTTCCCTTTTATTTATTTGTTTTACAAAGCTGCATGCTGCTCTTTCCAGGACTTTTTATTGCTTTATTTTATTTTGATGGCTAGCAACAGTACTTAGATCTATATACTGCCCCATAGTGCTTTACAGTATTCTCTGAGTAGTTTACAATGTCAGCATTATTGCCCCCCCAAAATCTGGGTCCTCATTTGCCAACCTCGGAAGGACAGAAGGCTGAGTCAACTTCGAGCGGGTCAGGATTGAACATCTGACAATGAGCAGAGTCAATCTGCGATACTGCATTCTAACCACTGTGCTACCATGGCTCTCCAGCCCGGTAGGTAGGGGATCATCTGTTCAAACGAACAGTTTGTCGCAGGATTTTTTTATGATAGAGTTACTGATCACCGTTCTCTGTTTAGGGCAAGAAGCTTGGCTCCGGAAGCTAAAATGGCCCAAACTGAAAGAATTCAATGCACTGAAGTGGCAACCTTTGTACACCTGCCCAGAATGCACAGAGACGGCTGCTTTTTATAAATCTTACTGTAATCTGAGCTTCTTCTGGATCCTCAAGGCTGGCCACATGGTAAGTCTTTTCCATGCCTTCAGAGTAAGCAGAGGACATCTTCTGTTTTGTATGTTGTAAGAATTAAAACGTTTTGTAGGAACAACTTTGCATAGCCCAAAGACAAAAGAATAGGGCAGGTATGACGATACTTACATCCCTTTCCATGAAAGAGAGAGGCTACCAATAAAATAAAAAATTTGCAAAAAAGAAAAAGAGAGAGGAGAAAGATTGCCATAAGCAAGGCTTTTTCATTTGATCGTAACACATGGAGATTATTTTTTCAAATACTTTTTATTAAAGAATTGAACAATGCTGAAAAGTGAAACTGGTTTTCCCATAATCCTACCTTAATTCCAAAGATCATTGTCATTTCAAACCAAGTGTTACCATAAAGTTTATAAAGGGTTTCCAGAATTTTATAGAAATGTTTTTATTTTATTTTAACCCCAATCAAAGAAGCCAATTGAATGTTCCATTGTTTCGTTTCTAACAATCTTGCTCTTCAGTTCATCAAGTTGCTATCATAGGGTTGAATCTTTAATTAAATTTCCTTTTTCTCAGTCTCAAAATTATTCCAGGTCATTTTTCATCTCCTGGCTTATCATTTGTGTTTTCACTTTGTCATTTCTGTCTTATTTTTCTTTCTCTTCTAAAGAAACAATTTCTTTACTTAAAACATTTATACATCAGCTGGGATTTGTTTTGCCTCTTCTTCCTGACAGTTTAGAATTCCCTCCATTATAGTCTCTTCCATGTCTTTCTTCCTTACAGTCTTCAAAAAATGCATTTGCAGGTGCAGAAATTATTTCTGCCAATTTAGTTTTATGTTTCTCTCACAGTTCTTAAAAAAACCCCTTTGAAGTATCTCAAGCATCATAACTTTGTCACTTTATAAATTTCACAGCTCTTCTTTCAGTTCAAAAATAGAAGCCAGGTTCTCCCTATTGATTTTTTTTTTAAACTATTCCTGTCTGGAACTTTAGCCTTCTTTAGGGTCCCATTTCCCTAATCATAAAGTCTCTGATTTCTTGGTTTCCTTATTTTCAAAATTTAACCGATCATTTTGGTTGGTTCCAGATAGATTAAACGTTTTTTTTATTGAGTTATTTCAAAAACCTTAGCAAAAGGCCTAATATTTCAAATTTGCTTGTTCTCTTAATTCATTTATAACTTTCTCGAATTACATTTATGTTCTCCACATTTTTTTAAGCCAGTAGCTTGTATTACCTTTACTTTGGGATGCAGTTTTATTCACCAGACTTGTTGCTTGGAAGACCTTTACTAACTTTAAAATCACTATAAATCCAAAAATGGCTAATAAGTGAGGATGGATGAACCCAATGTCCTTAAAGACTCCATGGTGGTTGATAACTTGATGGCTTCCCTTATCTCCCAGTGCCCCGACCTGTGGGTCGACCCCTGTCCTGCAGTCCCTTCATGAGGAGTGGCTACCTGGAGCGATCTTTTGTCCTCTCCTTATCTGGAGAGGCTCTGTTTACTGAGCTTGTCGGTCTTGGCCACATTCTCACCTCCATTTCATCAGAGACATCTAGTTTGCCATTCCCTGTGGTGTCTCCTTTGGATGACTCCCCCAACTCTTCCTCAGAGGCTGGCTCCAGGGGAGAAGGAGATCATTCCTGGCACATCAGGAACTGCCAGCAGAACAGGCTTCGGCTGGAGATAATTTGCAGGCCAGCGAAGAAGAGGGGGAGAAGCTGCCTGCCATGGTAGATCTCAGAGCACACAGGGCAGAGAAACCGGTTTTCCAGATTGCTTGGCAACAGGCCTCGCCCCTCTTGATGGGCTGATCAGGAGCTATTTAGCACGGCAGGCAGAGGGAGGCATTGCTGAGAGCAATGTGTGTGTGTGTGTTGTGACTGTGTGCTTGTCTGTGTTTCCTGAGATTCTGAATTTCTGTAACCCATGAGCTAACGTGGATGTACTTTAAGTTTTGCCTAGGAGTGCTTTATGTTCGTTTATTGGACTCCCTTTTGAGCAGCTTGCTATTTGTGTTATGGACTGATTGACCATTGCCTGGGGAATTAATCTAGGTTTGCTCTTGGCTGGCTTTGGTTGGTACAATTCTAAAGCCGGGTGAAGAGAACTACTAGAGGAAGACAAATAAAATCCTCCATAAACCACACTGACATGGCAGTGTGAGTGAGTGGGGCAGCCCATTCCCTCACCCAGTTGTTCCTTCACTCAGATGAAGATCCTGAGGCAGAGTTCCCCAACCTTTTCAACTTTGCGGACCGTCGGGAGGGGATGATTTTGCACATGCGCTTGCCCGCTGCTCATGGGATGCTTACACGAGTTCGCCCACCACTTCTGCGCCCCATTTCCAAAAGGCTAAGGCCTGGTAGTAGGCCACGGCCTCAGAGTTGGGGGCCCCTGTCCTAAAGGACTATGGTTAACTGTCTATATTTGAGATAATGGAGTCTAAAAATATCTTGTAGTTTTACCGGAACGAGCAAGACATTCTATTTCCTTTTTTTTTTTTTTTTTCCCTCTGGCCTCATTGAACAATGAAAACAGTAAATGAATAATATTACAAAACTTAAGGAGCACCCTTTTTTAAAAAAAATGGCTACTCCTGTTCTTGTGGCTTTCTGGGAAATCCCCTGCCGTTGGCTAACTGCTGATGTTTTTTTTGTTCTCAGGTCCCGGCTGACCAAGGTGACATGGCATTGAAGATGCTTAGGATGGTCACCCAACAAAAGCAATGACTAAATTAGAGCCAGCTGGCTTGGCTCCTGTTTGGAATCTTTTTGTGGCACCTCAAAAGCTGAAGGAATAATTATACCATTGTGTTTTGATTTTCTCAGGTATTATGTAAGGCACTTGAAGGAGACACAGATGGAAATAATTCACTTTCTCCTGTGGTAACTTCTTTTGTAAAATGTGAAGATCTCTTGATCCACTTCTGGTTAGCATAATCCTTAAATGCTGGAAACAGAAGGTGTGAGTAAATCAGGGATTGGCATTTTGTAGGCTATGTGTGGCCTCTATGTTGTAGCCTTGGAAGATCCTCTTTTTGTCCTGCAACATCTGGCAAAATTGATGAGATATCAGTGATATCCTTTTGGGATAGGTTTTGCCAAAAGGTAGTAGAGATGGACCGATCAAATTCCCAGAGTCAAAATGCATCAATTTGCAACTTCCAAACACTCCCAAATAGCCCAAAAATGTCCCCCATCCAGGCTGAACCCCATCCTCCTTCAGAGATCATTGTCCTAGCCTCCAAATAGTCTGGGGTAGCTCCCAGGACAAGAGCTGTTTCCCCCTCTTGAAGTAATGTTTTCTCAATGGCAATGTTTCCTTTGGATTGATTTTTGTCCTGGGCACGGGAAGCCAGAGTATTTTTCAGCTCAAGCACTTTTGTACCTGCACAGGCAATACACTTCCCAGTGGTTGCCCCAGACCTCATGCCCAAAGCCATCACCCTTTTTTCTATCAGCCTTTGCAGCTTGATTGAAAACAAGGTTGTATTCAGGTCTTATTTAAATGAGATTTGCTTCCTAGAAAGTAGATTCAGGATTGACAGGCATAAGTCCGTCAGCATACAAGGCCTCATTTCTAAAGTAGAAGCAGTTGTTTTTCTTGGCGTCCAGTGAGGAGGAAATATAGGAATAAAAACAGCAACCTGGAGCAACGGTTCAGCATCTCCTAATCTTGATCTTTAGGCTAATAGATTTGTCTAAGCCAGGGGTGGGTAAGTATGGCTCCTTTACGACCTGTGGACTTCAACTCCCAGAATTCATGACTGGCTCAGGAATTCTGGGAGTTGAAGTCCATGGGTTGTAAAGGGGCCATAGTTGCCCATCTCAGTCTAAGCAAAAGTGAAACTATTGGATTGTTTGCCCCAACCCATCTGGTGTGGTTCAGATGGGTTGGAATGGTAGCTGCTAGGATTCTGAAACTGCTCGGTCAGCACAACTGGATGGTAAGTTGAGAAATATGGACCTAACGTGATCCTCTCTGTTCTTTTTTGACAAGCATACGTTCTAAGATTTAGGGGGACATAATTACCTTAATTACCTTTTAAGTGACTTTCCTGTTTGGGATAGCTAGTTCTTTTGTTCAGAAATCCAACGCAGGTGTTTTGTATTTCTTTCTTTTGACTCATGATTTAAGTTCTCTGTTCAGGCGATATAACCAACTGAGGGGGCTCTGCAGAGCATTTGTTTCATTTGCATTGTTTACATACTTAACGATAAAATGAAGTAAAATGCTGAGTCAGGAAGTGCCAAAACTTATGTGTGGATAATAATGGCAAAATTCCATGAGGTAGGTGGATGGACTTGTCTGTCTCTAATGCTGAGAAAAAGCAAATACACAAACTGAGTTCAGAATTATCCTCCTCTGGCTGTCCCACTTGTCATTCTGTGTGAGGAGTCACTATGGAGGCTTCTCATATTGGTACTGAAGTACATCTCTTGAACCAGGAAAGCACTGTGTCTTCCTTAAAGTTGCCAACTGTTGGAAATGAAATTGACATCCTTTATACACAGTTCAATGTCTGTCTAAAGAAATTCATTCCATGGTGGTGAAATTGCCTTTTACGTGTATTATATATATGTATGTGAAATCTGAAAGCCAAAGACGTGGCCTTAATAAAGACTGATTTGCCTCATACTTCATTAGCTGATGATGAATCTGGGTGTATCTACAAATGTATCTGGGTAATGGAGCTGAGATTTTTTTAAAAAAGGATTATGTAGTGTTCTCTTCCCCCTCATCCGCTCATTTGAGAGCTGTGGCAGAAATTTAAGTTTCTCTGCCTCAACCTCTCTTCCGCTGAACGTAGCATACAGCTCTGTTCTTTTAATCTTGCGTGGGCTTGCAATGTTAAGACTTTTCAATGATCCCTCCTAAAGTGCAATGAACTATTAGGCCACCTGGTGGGGGAAGAGATCTTTAAATAGGACTGGGCCTGGAATACCACTGATCTGCCTAGTCCGGTATTGTTATCTTTGGCTTGTGTACATGATTTATTAAATAAAATACAATTGACTGGAGTTTGCACAACATACTAAGCCAGTGTGGCCAACCTTGATAGCTTTAAGACTTGTGGACTTCAACTCGCAGAATTCCCCAGCCATGTTGGCTGAGGAATTCTGGTTGTTAATGACCACAACTTTTAAAGTTGCCAAGTTTGGACACCTCTGTGTTAAGCCATGAACTATGGGTTCACTCAATAAATCCCTGCTGTATAAGCTTGATGTGTTGCGTGAACTGGTGGACCTCCTGAGTTTCAGGCAGAAAGTTTACCACCCTGACTTGGAAATGCCAAGCTTTGGCAACTGAGATCATGCAGAGTAGGATCTATACCAATAAGCTGCAGCCTGAACTGGATTAAGAAAGCTGTGGCGCTACTTTGTGAAGAATTACCCTCTCACTTCCCAGGGGAAGGCAGGAATGTGTGAGGACACTCCGCAACCTCACAAGATGGTTGTGAGGCAAACAGGAGGAAGGCATAGTAGGTACAGTTGCCACCTTGAGTTATTTATAAAAAATGAAGGTGGGATATAAATAAAAATAAAAGCAGTCACTAAGTGTTGTGACATGGGTTTTGAATTTGCTTCTCCGTGCCTGTTTGCAATGGAATGAGATCAGGAGTTGGAACAAAGAGCAATAGCACAGCACAGTGAGAGAGGTTCTGATGCTGTATCTTGATTTGAGCACAGTGCTCTTAACAGAGATCTTAGAAGCGATTGGCCAAGCATTTGTTTTGAAATACTTGAAACAAAAGATCTTCCACTTTGTCTAGAGTTGCCCTACGAGGTCCCTGCTGCAATATTGCCCCACATTGTTCTTTCAGCTAATGCACCAGAGGGAGGAACATGAAACACGTACAAAATGCCACCCCACAGAGATTCTGAAGGCACAACACTGGTCTTCAAACAGTGGGATTCCACAGCTCTTTGATGAGACAACCACAACGGGGAAAAAAGGCAAGCATATAAATCAATTGTGGCAGCATTTGCCCCTTCTGCTGAGTCTATGGCTTTCAGTCAAGGGAACTGATGTCCTGTTCCTGAGGCTTGGCCAGTTCCTAGTGTGCTTAATTATCCTGCAAATAGGAAGGCTCAGCTGTTCGCTCTCTATTGCTTGCACACACTGCAAGGGGAAATAACCACTGTCAGTTCATGGCAGGCTGTGTGACTTTTTAGCTTGAGGCCTATAGCTAATGATCTGAATGCTACTTTCTAATTATAAAGAATATAAAGCTATAAACCATTGCATTCAACCTGTATAGGTTGGCTTCATACCACGCTAAGCCAAATCAATAAACCAACCTTAGTACAATGTGTGAACCCAGACATTCCTTGACCCTTCAATTTTACTAGCTCTGAATTATGTATTGCTTAGCTGTTTAGTTGCCATCTCCCCCACCCCCCAAATTTCTCCCTGGCTTGTTCACTTTCTAAACTTCTTAACATCACGGCGTGACCTGTAGGACTCGAGCAAGCTTTCCAGCTGTTGAATGTGGCATTGAAACTTTTGACTTTTTGTTTTAGAGCAATTTAATGCTTGGATGTTAATAAGGAATCATGCTCATCTCCACTGTGTAAAGCAGGGGTCCCCAAACTTGGCAACTTTAAGACTTGTGGACTTCAACTTGTGAACTTCAGCTATGCTGGCTGGAGAATTCTGGCAGTTGAAGTCCACAAGTCTTAAAGTTGCCAAGTTTGGAGATCTCTGTTGTAAAGTCTCTTTCCTGGTTTCTGAATACCAATTTGAAGGTCCTAGAGAAGCAAGATTGGTCCTTTATAGTGATTAGTTGTCTTGTCTTTTCAATCTTCTCAGTCTACAGAACACTGTAGTCTGTGATGACCCAGAGTGGGATACAAAAGAAACACAATCACAAAAAAAAGGTGAAGCCCCTTTTATTCCTTCACTTTGCTTCCAAGCTCCAAATATCCTTGACTGGAGACAAAAAACTCCCACACAAGCAATTACACGAAGGAGGAAATGCCGTTTAAATTATAAAGAGTAAAAAAACAACACAAACCAGACAAGATAAGGTCCACAGATATTAGAACACACATTGGGAAGGACACCAAACTCAGAGAGGAACAACAAACTAGAGATATTTCCACGCTTTGTTTCCAGCACTGGCCTATATGCATGTCCTTCCTCTTACCCAGTTGTCATAGCTGCAACCCATGAAGAGGATTAATGCCCTCTCCCTTATCCTCTCCGCCCTGCATGTCCTAGGATGGAGAGGGGATGGGCCTGAGTCCTCCTTTGACTGCCCAGCTGGCCTCTGCCCTTCCCCAGCCTCCTCCACCACCTCAGGAGCCACACTTCCACTCCCTATCAGCTGTTCCTCCTCTCCCTCAGAGTCAGTCTCCACCAGGGGCATGACAGTAGTCTATTACTGCCAAAGGCTGTGTCTCAGGTTATCTACAATCACCTACAGTGATTGTAGTTCAGGGAAGGAAGGCATACCTGCTTACAAGGTCTGAAGGCAGAAGTGGAAAATGTCAAAATCCCAGAGGAGCTGGTAGAACACAAGCTAAGATTTCATACTTGGGAAAGGCAAATTCTGGGAATGAATTACAATAGCATCTAAGAACTAGTTGCTTGATCTTAGGAATTGACATCTGTCCCCAATAAGATTGCATTAGGTTCTCTGCTAATTCCCCACTCTTTCATGTCTTTCCCATAATGTGATTGGATTTGTAAATATGCCCACCACTCCAATTCCACCCTGTTCTTTTAATTTTTGTCTAGATTTCAATTCCACTTTCTCATTTATAATATCCTTATATGCAATAATTTTTCCCTGATTAATAAGGTTTGGGTGTACCAACTCCTCTAAGGTAGATAACCAAACGGGTTTCCATGTAATTTTGCTGTTTAATTTTGTTCCATATCGCAAATATCAGGTGTCTTTGAAAATATTGATGTGCAGTGTGGCACATGTGTCTGGGTAGATACTAAGAGCCATGCTTGACTTAACCCCTCTCTCTGTGCCCTTCAATCATCCATATTGCTTGGAGGAAACAACCAATTATCCAAGAGAAAACTCTGAAAAAAGTAGTGTACAACCCAAGATAGGCCTTTAAAGTAAATAAAGGAACTTGGAACTGGAAGGAAGAAAAGTTGACTTCCATTATCTTTGTCCCACACACTGCAATCCTAACCCTTCCCCAAAATATGA